TGAAGTCTACGCGTACGGCTAGTTCACTGATACCTAGTTTGATAGGAAGTATCTGGATCTGCACAAAAAAATATGCAGAAGCGTAGTATGAGTACACCACAGCAGTACCCAATTAGTGTCAAGCCTAACCTCAGTAGAGTAGTGACGATGTCAGGTCAGACCCTACTGGAAATAATAAAAGACAGGGTGAATGTTTAACAATATAATAATAATAATGACAATGGAAATAATTCAAGTAAGTAGTATGCCACAAATCAACTACATAGAATAAGAGCAAATAATACCTCATGGAAGGAAAACAAAAATTTACAACTTTAAGGAAAACACCAAAAATAACCAAAGGCAATTCAGTCATAAAGAAATATCAACAAGGGCACTCCCGAGGTACCGCCTCGTAGTCCAAAATTATAAATAAATTCACAAGATCTTATTTCCTTATATCACTGCGGGAGCCTTCACATTTAATTTTAAAGAATAGATTTTTCCTGAAATAGCATCCCGCTTTTTAGCCACCCTTATCATACCGCATGACTTCTAGTAGTTCCCCTACTAGCCACGTGTATCAAGCCACCCTTATCTCACCGCATGCATTTCAACACCCATACCCTATACCACCGCATGCGTGTCAATGTCCCAATATATCATAATTTGTACCTCAAGTGATCAAATATTTCAACTTGCCAAAATAAATAAATAACAATATTATTTCCATAATAAAGAGCTCACGGCTCAATCACAACAACAACAACCCAGTGAAATCACACTAGTGGGGTCTGGGGAGGGTAGTGTGTACGCAGACCTTACCCCTACCCCGAAGAGGTAGAGAAACTGTTTCCGAAAGACCCTCGGCTTAAGAGGACAAAAAGACAAAATAAGACAATATCAGTATCACCAGAGAAATCATAGAAAAAATAGGAACAACATGAAATCCAAAAGAAAGATGCAAAGCAAAAACGAAAAAAACCAAAACCAAAATCGATAGCTAGTAAATAGGTCCGACACTGAAACGCAAAATAGTAAGACACGACATTGTCACTAGCTAGCTTAGACAAAAACCCTACCAGACTAGTCTCACAACGGTACGAAATAAGGCAAGACTTAACTACCTCCTAACCTACAACCCTAATACTCAACCTCCACATCTTCTTATCAAGTGCCATGTCCTAGGAAATATGAAGCCTCGCCATGTCCTGCCTGATCACCTCTCCTCAATACTTCTTCTCCCGCCCTCTACCACTTCTCGTGCCCTCCACAACCAGCCGCTTACACCTCCTTACCGGGGCATCTAGGCCCCTCCTCTGTACATGTCCAAACCATCTAAACCTCGCTTCCCGCATCTTGTCATCAATGGGAGTCACGCGCACCTTCTCCTGAATATCAACATTCCTGATCTTATCCATCCTAGTGTGCCCGCACATCCACCTCAACATTCTCATTTCTTCTACTCTCATCTTCTGGATATGTGAGTTCTTAACAGCCCAACACTCAGTCCCGTACATCATGGCCAGTCTTACCACCGCTTTATAGAACTTACCTTTGAGTATCGGTGGCACTTTCTTGTCACACAGGACTCCAGNACCCACTTTCCTCGGCTCAGTGCTAAACTTACACTCCAGGTATTCATCTTCGTCCTGCTCAGCTTGAAATCCTTAGACTCAAGAGCATGTCTCCAAACCTCCAGCCTCTCGTTAACACCGACTCGTATTTCATCAATCAAAACTATGTCATCGGCGAATAGCATGCACCATGGCACCTCCCCTTGAATATGGTGTGTTAACGCGTCCAACATAAGGGGGAATAGGAACGGACTGAGCGTAGAGCCTTGATGTAGTCCTATAATAACCGGAAAATGCTCAGAGTCACCTCCTACTGTCCTTACCCGTGTCTTAGCCCCATCATACATTCCCTTAATCGCCATAATGTAAGGAACCGACACACCTTTTGCCTCCAAGCATTTCCAGAGAACTTCTCTAGGAACCTTGTCATATGTTTTCTCTAGGTCAATAAAAACCATGTGCAAGTCCTTCTTCCTATCTCTGTACTGTTCCACCAACCGCCTAACAAGGTGTATAGCTTCAGTAGTAGAACGACCCGGCATGAACCCGAACTGGTTGTCGGAAACAGGCACTGACATCCTTACCCTCGCTTCAATCACCCTCTCCCACACTTTCATGGTATGACTCAGTAATTTGATACCCCTATAATTGTTATAACTCTGGATATCACGTATGTTCTTATACAGTGGAACCACCGTACTCCACCTCCACTCATCCGGCATCCTCTTCGCCTTAAATATAATATTGAACAACCCAGTCAACCACTCCAAACTTGCTCTCCCCACACACTTCCAAAATTTCACCAGAATCTCGTCAGGCCTTGTCGCTCTGCCCCTACTCATCTTACTCATAGCTCCCACGACCTCCTCCACCTTGATGCACCTGCAGTAACCAAAGTCCCGGTGACTCTCGGAATGCTCCAATTCACCTAGCACGATATCATGATCCCCTTCTTCATTCAGAAGTTTATAAAAGTAAGTCTGCGAAACCCCCTCCTATGAATAGCTTCTCAACAGGCGGAACCTGACGCACAATCTTATCCAACCCCTCACAGAAATGCCGTTTAACCTCCTCATCTAGGCCTGCATGCGGCGCATAGACGCTAACGACGTTTAGGGTGCACTCTCCAACCACCAACTTAATAATCATCAATTTATCATTCACTTGTCTAACCTCAACCACAAACTCTCTAAGTTCCCTATCTACCAAGATACCCACTCCATTCTTACCCTTCTGGACTCCTGAGTACCAAAGCTTATACATGTCCGCGTCCCTCGCCCTCGACCCTACCCAACTTGTCTCTTGGACGCACGCTATATTGACCCTCCTCTTCTGAAGGATCTTTGCCAACTCTATAGACTTACCCGTCAATGTACCTACATTCCATGACCCAATTCTCAACCAGTGGACACCCTTGTTCCCTTTACCTCCCTTGCCTCCCGACCCGCCTCCCAACCCCCGCCCTACCTCCCGCTTTCCTCGAGGACATGACCTCACTCGACCATCCCTGACCATAGCCACTATATGTAGGCAGACTAAGGGGAATCACTAACACACATAAGGCAACAACCCAAATTAGAATAAGAAAAGTTGCAACTACAGGCACACTAATATAGTGAATAAACAAATATGGACTAAGACGATAACAATTTAACTAATTATAAATTGAAGACACATGATCAGCAAGATATGTGCAACTAAATACCCTAGACAGTCCTAATAGGGCCGAGAGCAAATACAAAGGATCTAAATAGTACAGGTGAGTCAAACAATTAAATGATCTAAGCAAATAAACCACGGCTATAGCACAATACTAGTATAGAACACACTACGAACAATGAAACAAATTTAAACAAAGTGTATCTACGACAAAGTGTAATGAGACAAGAATGTATAACCTGGTGTCGTCGACGGAGACGGTGGGGCCGATGGTGGTAGTGAGAAGATGATGCCGGATGAGTAGAGGTGGAGTACGTCGCCGACAGTGAGAGATGGAGAAGACAAGACGGAAAAGAGGAGAAGCGGGGTGAGAGAGATGGGGGGAAGAGAGGGAGGAGGGTTGTGGGCTGATGAAGAGGAGAGTGGAGTGGAGAGAGAGAGGACTTACCTGGGCGGAGGGTAGTCGCCGGTGACTAAATTGATCGCTGGTTTTGTTACCGTTATGTTACCGTTAACGAGAAGGGAACGCTTGGGAGAGAGAGAGAGAGTCAGTTTATGAAAAAGAGTTCACGGCTCAATCACAATGAATACAAAATCTCACAAAATATTCGAAAGTGAATAACTCAACAAAACTAATATTTCACAAATTCAACACATTGCCTCAATACCAATGTTTTTTATGTCAAATACTTCATATTAATAATAATTCAATTAAGAAATTTAACTTTCAAATAATGAACACAGAATAAAAGAAATAAAGTTTCAACTAAACAAGTAAAGCAATTAGCAGGAAAAATGTCAGGCAAATTTAAAATATAAAAATAGATTAATGATGATGAATATAATCGGATAAAATAATTTAATTAATGTGTAAAAGAGATCTACACAATTTAAAACCAGAGTTCTCCACATTTAGTCCGTGTACACACTCGTCACCTCGCGTACACGACTTTCAACACATCACAATTATCATATCAATACAAATCCTAAGGGGAACTTCCCCCCACACAATGTAGACAAGTCACTTACCTCGACTTGTGTAATTCTTTACTCTATTATGCCTTTGCCTCGCGAATTGGCCTCTGAAAGCCTCGTATCTAGTCACAATTAATCCAATTCAATCAATACAAATTATTAAAATTTATTCCATATGAAAATACAAATTTTCGAACAAAAACTGATATTTAACTCAAAAATCGCTCTTGGAATCCGACAAAAGTTACAAAATATGAACGTCCATTCAACCACGAGTCCAACCATACCAAAATTACTAAATTTTGATAACAATTTGGCTCTCAAATCTTCAAATCTTATTTTCGAATCCCTATCTTATAATTTCATCTCAAAAACATGTAATCTAGTCGAAATACTCAATGATACTTCAATATTGTTGACTAACAATGATCATAACTGACTTACCTCAAGTTCCCGTGAATTCTCTCTCAAAATCGCTCCAAACCCGTGTTGGAAATGTCCGAAAATCCCAATTTGAGTTTGTATGGGAGAAGTTTAGAAATCTATAAAAAGGTAATGAGAGAGCCTCCATTCTGATGAAAACAAAGCATTCTACTTTCTCGTGCATGACCATGAACGCCATTCAGGACGATATACCAACGTTGTCTCTATTTTCAGATAACAGTATCGTTGTAAAGGGAGAACCAATTGCATATACTTGTCCTCATGAGTCGTCATCAGCTAAATATTCCGACACCAAACTCCCCACTTTGTCTCTCTTTCCGCAAAACTGAGCTGCTTCTAAACCCACAACATTGTCTCTCTTTCCAGAATTTTCAGAAAACCTAGCTACTGCTTCAAAACACTACTTTGTAAATAATCCTCCGCCGTCGTCATCGCCGCCGCCTTCTACTGATCTCTGTCTTTCTCTACTAGGTACAATACCCGAAACCTCGACGTTGCCCTCCAATTCTAATTCCCCAAATATCATTAGTCAAGATTCTTGTGCCCCCAAAAGGTCGTTCCATGAATCTAATATCGCTACTCCTGTTTTAAAAAGAAAAGGACAAGATCAGAAACTTGTTCCTATCAAGAAACGGCGTTTAATTGCGGCGGCGGAGGAAGAGCACTGGATAATTAAGAAGTTGACAAAGAGTGACGTGAATGGATCTTCAAGGCTTTTGTTGCCGAGACAAGAAGTGAAGACTTACGTTATACCTTTCTTGGATGAACAAAAAGCTACAGATTGCCACAAGTTAAGTGGAACTGATGTTAATGTCTGGGATTTGGATACACAATCAGAGTATTCTTTGACGCTCAAGAAATGGGAAACCCATAGTTTTCAACTCATCAGAAACTGGACCCCCAACTTTGTGAAGAGAAGGAATTTAAAACAAGATGATGTGATTGCGCTTCGTTGGGATCGAAACAATTCAAGATTTTGCTTCCGCGTTCCAAGTAGGCATGATCATCAAGAGGATAATGAATCATAGTTGTGTCATTTTTTTATTAGTTAGCAACGTTTTCGTTTATTGTCATCTTTTTCACTCTTTTACATTTTTAGGCACATATTTAGCTTGGCTTAATGAAAAAGTGGAGGACCGCGTATTTTGTGACTAGTAATATTGTTTGATCAAACTTTAAATTATGCACAAAAGCTAAAAGATTTTAAGTTACATAAAGTACTTCTACACTATCAGTATCGCATACCATTAGTTAGCATAAACATTTATTCAATACTTGAATGTAGAAATGATAGTATCACCAAAACAAGCAAACACATTTATTCAACATCTTGAACGTAGATGCGACAGTATCACCAAAATGAAACAAACTTGCAAAGCACAAGACTGCTGGCTCAGTTCACCAAAGTAACATCAAACTGAGCCATGCACATAAACACTACTATCGCTAAATAACACTTGAACAAAATACGACACTCAAGCTTATAACATTCTTCATCCAGCAACAATGGTTGTTTGCTATGTCTTAGCAATATAAGATGCAAGGTTCACCTGGTAAATTAGTATCAGTATCAGTCATGAGTCTGTAGTTATGGGTCGTGATACATATAAGCTTGATGTTATGTTAACCATGTTATGTTATTCATTTAGACTGGATTTTACTTATTTATTCTTGATATTCTAAATTCTTTTTATATTTGAAAAATCATTGTTTCTATGGTTAGACTTTAATGAGTCAAATGATTCATCTCTACAAATGCAGAGTTTAAACTTATTTGGTTTGATTTTAGTCCAAAAATAAAATGCATAATGATCTAATAATGCTTTTTGAATTTTACGAAATTAAAGTTAAAAGATCTTAGATCTAATAATGCAACTTTGAAAATATGGGAAATTACGAAATTCTCAATACGTCATTTTTAGTTTTAGCCCTTATTTTCATATTTCGAGACCTCTATAAGCTCCCTTTAGTATTTCTCAATTTGCGTGCATAATCCGTGTCTTTTTTCGGAAAGACTTTATGTAAAAATTTGAATAAAACATGATTTTTAGCTTTAAAAATGACTTGAATTGATTACGATCAATATTTTATGTAAATGACCCGAATCGGTATTTTGACGATCCTGGTGGGTCCGTATCGTGATTTTGGACTTGGGCGTAAACCCGAAATTGAATTCGGAAGTCCTTAATTTGATTACTCTGATCAATCAACACTGAAACAATATAAATCATACGAAGAAATGAAAATGATAAATGGGATCTCTAGGTGCATCACTCAACTATTAGGAAGAAAGTTGGGTGGGGTGGGACGTTGGGATTGGAGTGTAGAAGTATGGTGATGTTTGATAAGATAAGCCTAGGGGCAATTTAGTCAAATCACTCAAAAGATTATGTTTAAGCTACGGCAAAGTAAAGCAATTATATTGCTCCATTTTAACTGAAATTATCAAAACGTCTTTTATGTGCCAAGCATGTTGACCATTAGCTGCTTATCCTCTTATATATATATAGTATGTCAGTTTTGGGGTTGGGCATGGGCAGGTTTGCCCGCTTGGTTACTCATTTATGATGGATCTTATTTATAGTTGTGGCTCTTGAATTTGGGTCGTGACATGTGTTATAGAGAACTTCGGCTTACAATTACAAGTATATCCATAAGAAATTTATATATGATAATAGGAGAGATTAAACCACAAAATATAAATATAATTATGAGTTAAGGTTAAACAAATGTATCATTCAGCTTTATGATTCAATAGTTGTAGCCACAAAAGGTCAAGTCTGAGACCGATTTTCACGACAGCAAGTTATCATGTTCTTTCAAGTTTCAACATCGGAAGAATTGACGGAGATGAATCATCAATGAACCCCCTTTACCGCATATTCGAGAAAATAGAATACGCTAATGTTATTCTTGTGATAACTAGGGTACGAAAGCTATTTCCACTTAGACAATTTCATATATATGAGGATTGCACGTTCTGTTTTAGATTAGGCAAATCTAATTAGGGGTGGGTATTCGGGCATTCAGATTGAATATAAAAATTTCGGTTTGGATTTTCGTATTTCGGATTGAATAAATGACAATCCAAATCCAATCCAAATAAGCTCGGATTGGATTGGATTTTTTAAGTTTTGTTTCAGATTAATCGGTTTAGATATTTTGAATTTTCAGATTTGAGTTTATAAGTTGAGATGTTTCTTCTTTTTACAAAAATAAATATCCAAATGATATATTCATGTTAAATTGCTTGAAAAGTTACTAAATATAAAGTATAAAATTTTCGTATTTTTGGATATCCAAAAACCAGAAGTATCAAATTCAATTTCCAATCCGAAATTCAAAAAATTTAAAAATTAAATTCAAAATCCAATCTGTAATCCAAAAATTAAAACCAAAAATTCAAATTTCAATTTGAATTTCGGGTTTGTCCAAACTATGCCCATCCTAAGTCTTATTTAAGGGATTATGGATGAGCTAAATAAAAAAATATAATAATTAGGGATTCACATTTATTTGCAAGATATTTAGGGAAGTTGCCTTTTATTTAGAGAATGCCTAACAATCACAAGTCAACACGTAATTAATTAGGCTTACATATTCTACACATAACCATAGTAGGATCAGACCTTATATTTCAATTTCAATAATTTCATTTACAACTTGAGTCAAACCACTATCCCTTTCCAGTTATAATGAACTAATGTTAATCTGAATTTCAACATATATTACATGCTTTAGGACTTGCCACATAAAGTAAAGAAAACGTTAACGTCCTCCGTTTTTCTATATTTTAACCAGTCAATTTAAAATTTTGACAACTTCTGAAATATATTAATTTCAAATTTTATTAAAATCAAATTTCTTGTAGCTGCCGCTGGCAGTCTTCTTATCATATTTCATTGCTTACTAAGAACTTGACCAAGAATGGACAACAAATATAATTTTATATTCTACCAATCTTTAATAAGTGCTACTCTCTACATAACAAAATAAATAAAACGTTAACATCCTCCGTTATTGTTATATTCTAACCTGTTAATTTGGATTTTTGACAACTTCCGAAATGTATTAAAAACAAATAATTTACCTGTTCTTGCGGCAGCTATATTTGATTACAAGGCATTTATGTTTAAAATATATACTCCCTTTGTTTGTAAACTTGTTTGATTAGACACAAAATTTAAGAAGTTTAACAGACTTCTGACATATAAGCCAAATATATGCAAATTACTAAAATTATTCTTCTAAATTAATTTTGGTAAATCTTTTCATTTGTCTTTTCCTTTACTCTCTTCTTGTAAAAGAATAAACTCTTTTTATTTCCCAGCTAAGCTTTCTTCTCAGAAATAATTTGGCTGACTTTATGAACAAAAATGATGTAAGCAATTTAATTTTAATGGACAAACTATTGTGGAGCCGAATATGAAATTATATTTGTTATCCAAACTAGTAAAGTTCTTATTAAGCAATGAAAATAGATAGGAAGACTGTCAATTGCAGCTACAAGAACTTTGACTTCAATAAAGAAGAAAAACGAAATAATTAAAATATATTATTTATTGAAGAAGTGGTTGTGTAAGAATATATGACTCTCCCTGTGATTTTATGTGATATGCTTTTCTTTCTTTTATGTAACAATATATCTTAGCATTCTCTTTTACTTTTTCTGCATAAATTATTTGAATCTCAGACTTTTGAAAAACAAAAATTGCTAAAAAAATAAATATATCTTTCGTATTTATCTTTACTACAAATCCCATTTCTTGCCTCCGGGTCCATGAAAACTGCCTATTCTCGGAAGTATGCTTCATATGGTAGGTGGACTTCCACATCGTGTCCTAAGAGATTTAGCTAAAAAATATGGACCACTTATGCATCTTAAACTAGGTGAAGTTTCTTTGGTTGTGGTTGAGATAGCAAAAGAAGAACTAAAAACTCATGACTTCGCTTTTGCATCTAGGCCAAAACTTTTGGCAGCTGAAATTATCGTGTATAACTCTTCCGTTGTTGCCTTTGCTCCCAATAGTGATTACTCGAGACAAATGCGTAAAATTTGTATCTTGCAAGTGCTCATTATAACTCTTCCGTTGTTGCCTTTGCTCCCTATCGTCATTCAGCTCGATTAGGCAAAATGATGTTTTTCGTCTCATTCAATTTTTTCTATCATTTTCTGGTAAACCAGTAAATTTTACAAAAAGAATATCTTTATTCATGAGCTTTATAAATTGCCGATCAGCATTTGGGACAGTATTCAATGAACAAGACGAATTTATCGAAGTAATGAAAAATGATACAGCCTTACCTAAATTTTCTTCATGTACTCACTGAAAGGAGGGCTAAAGTTATAAATCTCCACCATAAGATAGATGCCATTGTTAATAATGTCATAAATGAGCACAAGAAAAACCTCGCAACTGGCAAGTTCAATGGTCAATTAGGAGGGTAAGATTTAGTGGTCAACTACTAAGACTTATGAAAAATGGAGGCTTTCAATTTCCAATCATCAACGACAACATCAAAGCTATTATTTATGTAAGTACTACATATTGCAAAAGTCTCTCTAATTAGTCCGTTTATTCCTGTTTATCAAAGCTATTATTTATTATTTCGTTTCTTTAATGAGTTTTCTGGAAGTATCTTTGTGAGAAGGGCCAGAAACAAAAATTGTGGGCTACACAAGAGTAGTGTTCTTCCTTGAAAGATGTGGTATTAGACTGTCCACATAAAATATTTAGCTACGAAGTGATAAATTAGGAAGTGTAAAATGAAGAAAATTTGTATACTAGAGATTATGTGTAACTGAGAGGGTAAATTATGTATTAAGCCGATTAAAGATATAGTTCTAATTGACCCATTAGAAAACTTATCAAAATATATTTACAAGACATATTATTTTTGTTTTATATGTTAGATGAGCCATAATAAAGAAAAAAATAAATTTTATTAATTTTGTTTGGTAATTAAATAAGTTATAAGAAAACAAACAAAGAAATAAAAATGCGGCTTATAGTCTGTCGGCATTGCG